TGATACTCAATGATGTATTATTGAATAAAATGGTTCAACCACTGCCGTATTGTTGTGGATAAAAATCATATCTTAAACCGAATCTAGTGTTCTCACTGCATAAGAAAGAATCCCAACCCCACTCCCCTGGAGTACACATGGTCGTAACACAAGGCAATAGGCAACAACATACATGCTTGACTACATCATAATATCAAATATAAACTAGTTAGTAGGAGCCTACGGGGTCTGTTCTTTTAAATAACTGTTCTTATACGATCTTGAAGAGAACTTAAATGTTACATTACATTGTGGTACCTTGGGCCTTCCTCGGCCTATCATATCATGGACCAGGAGCATAGGAGACCTTCCTAAAAACAGAGCCATCGTATTATCAAACAGCAGCTTGCTGATCAAAGACATTAAGAAAGAAGATGGTGGAATCTACCTCTGCAAAGCTGAGAATATACTTGGAAAAGTGACTAAGCATGCGCAGATAATGGTTTTACCTTCGCTTGTGTTTACCGTAAAACCACCAGCACATTTAATGCTGTTTGCAGGAATGAAAGCTGTGCTGGACTGTCAAGCTGCGAATGCATTAGAGTTAGTTTGGATGAAAGACAATAAACCAGTAGGTGGTTCTGTCATCGTCCATTCCAATGGAACTCTGACCATTACTAGAGCTAGTACTCAAGATAATGGAAATTATGCATGCATCGCAAGAAAAACTTCGATCGATCTATTAGAACAACATCTAAATTAGCGGTTGTGTAAAAAAGATAAGTTTAACACCGTAAAAAAGAATGGGAAATAACTTACTGACGTTTCGGATGTTAATCCTTCGTCGGAGTAAAGAGAGAGAACTACAATCCCGGTCAAAAGGGTTGAGACAAAGTGATGAAAATAGTGTTCTTATATGTTTACTACTGAAAAAAACCTAATTTAAATCCCCCTTCCCCCCTAAATCAATGTTGTGAGTTATCAGTTATCATTTGTGGTCTTTCATAAACTACATTCATTCAACTTTGTAATGAGGGGAGCGGGGAGTAGGGAATTGTAGACATTTAAAAGCAACCTCCCCAAATTTCATTAATTTTAGAGTCAAAAAATGGAATGTCTCAACAAGTTTTGACCGGGATTGTATTTTGGGCATAAAACGTTTTTCATACTCGTGAGTTGTGTATGTGTACATGAATGACTATAACAATATGAAGAATGCATTTTTTTAACATTCTAATTTAAAATTAGTGATGTAATAAAGATAATTTTCAAAATTTTCTCTGAATTGGAGCCCACAAGTTGTTTCGCTATTGTCGCAGTTTTAACAAAAATGGTGTTTTTGGGAAAGATATCACCAGAGAAACGCGCCTATATAGCATATCTTAGTCAAGATAAAGATTTTAAAGTAAAAGATATATGTAAAAAGACTGGAATTTCAAGAGCAACCGTTCATCGAATTAAACAAGACAAAAAT